ACACAGCAGGCCAAGCAGCATCTGCTTGGCCTGCTGTGTTCATCCAGCCCTGCACCTTGTTGTCTCTAAATAGTCTCTGAAGTTCTCTTCAACAGAGAGCAGTGGAGGTTATTAAATATATTGAAGATTGTGTAAGACAGACGTTTAATGACAGGAGAGGTCAGTATTATGAGGTGCTGGCAGGCAGCTTGAGTTAAGGTTGCATGTTATTTGTTGTAATCATTTTAAATGATAGGACAGGTTCCGTGCGTCAAATAACCTACTCCTGCTCCTTTCTTTTTTGTGATGTTACGAGCAGCTGTAATAATGAAGAGCCCAATCTGTCTTCTGGCCCATTGTGTGTCTTATTGGGGTGGAAGGTGGGTGTTTGGAGGGGGCAAATTACAATGATAGTGACAGCTACAGTGGGTATTTACAGATAAACAAATTAAAAAATAAGTATTGCACCATGGCATCTGGATCGGCCTGTAAATGGTTACAAGAAATTGTGTGAAACAGTAAAACATGTGTTGTAAATTCCCGAAGCCAATCTGGTTGCACATGCTTGATGAATACCCTTTCCACTCAGGCGCCTCACCTCACTAAGTACAGCTTTCTCCCCATTTACAACGATTTCCCTCCAAGCTTTATCATTTTCTGTAGACGTGTTGGGGAAATGGAAGCCTCTCTTTAGCGAACATGTGTTATAGCGAAAACTTTGGGAAAGTGGGTCGCCCCCAAATACTTCAACATAGTTGGGGGTAATCTGTAGGTTCCGGCTGGCTTTCTGAATTCCATTTCTCGATTCAATGCAGCAACACGTGCCCAAAAAACATTTGTGTCCATCAAAAACAGTTCTGCTTCCGTGAACCTTAATAGCCAGTACGATTAAAACCACCAAAAAAATCGACGAGATAATTCCCAAAGAAATGACTAAGTAGAGGCTTGTATCAGAAGTGAAGCCAGGGCTTTCAGCTAAACTGCCTGGGTCATTGAGCATTTCTGCACTGCCTTCCACAATTGTCAAGATGATAGTCATTGTCGCTGTAAGTGCTGGTATTCCATTGTCATCTACAAGGATAACTAACTTCTGCTTGTTTGCATCTGTCTTTGTAATCCTCCGGGTTGTCCATATTTCACCCGTTTCCAATGAAATCGTAAAAAGTCCCAAGTTGTTATCATGGAGGATCCGATAGGATAGGCGAGCATTTTGCCCAGAGTCCGCATCAGTGGCCGTTACCTTGGTCACGAGATACCCTGGGTCCGCCAACCGGGGTAGGGTCTCTGTCACTGTTGATCCATACTCGGTTATCGGATGCACAATCACTGGAGCGTTGTCATTCTGATCAAGGATAATGATGTCTATGGAGACGTTGTTAGCGAGTTGTGGGACCCCACAATCATGCGCTTGAATTCGGACCTGAAAGTTTTTTAATTGTTCGTAGTCAAAAGGTCGAAAGGAATATATCACGCCACTCCCTGCATTTATGTGGATGTACCTGCTTACCGATTCGCCCTGAACCTGGCTCTCCAGGATAGAATAGGATAGCTGGCCGTTTTGCCCTAGGTCGGGATCCGAAGCTGACACCGAGAAAATGGACGCATCGATTTTGTTATTCTCCATCACGTACGCTGTGAGGGACGGTTGCGCAAATTGTGGCGCGTTGTCATTCCTGTCTGAAACTTCAACCACAATGGTTTTGTTGGTGGAGAGAGGCGGGGTTCCGCCATCGTTACAAGTGATAGTCACATCATAGGTAGAGAAGGATTCGCGGTCCAGCCGTTCCTGCGTGATCAACCGTAAATATTTCTTTGAGGACGAATCCAGTGCGAAGGGAAGATGATTACCGATTTTACACTGCAGCTGCCCAAATTGTCCCGAATCCTTGTCTGACGCACTGATCAGGGCTACTACTGTCCCAGTCAGAGAGTCTTCTGGAACAGGGCTAGATAAGGATGTCAGCGTCATCTCAGGGGCATTATCATTGACATCAATAATGTTCAACACAACATGACAGTATGTTGGGTTGGCATTAGGTCCCTTGTCCTTTGCTTGTACAATAAACTCGAAAACGTTAATATCCTCATAGTCCAAATTCGCTTTGGTTCTGATCTCGCCCGTTTTCGAATCCAAACCAAACAGCTCACGGACCTTTGCAGATGTATGACTACTGAAAGAGTACACAATCGCTCCATTAGAACCATCATCTAAATCCGTGGCGTTTACCTGCAGAACCAAGGCCCCTTTGGTTATATTCTCTGTCAGGCTGACTCTGTAAACCGATTGCAGGAAAAACGGCTCATTGTCGTTGGCATCTTCAACTATGATATTGATTTGGGTAGTACCAGACCTCTCGGGTACCCCGCCGTCTTTGGCCAACAGCAGTAGCCTGTGGATCGATTGCTTCTCTCTGTCCAGGGGCTTTTCTAGCACTAGTACGGGTAATTTTCCATCTCCAATGCCCGCCTCAACATTTAACAAGAAGTATTCATTTGCAACCAGCTGGTAGGTCTGTACGGAGTTAGTTCCAACATCGGGATCGTGCGCGCACTCGAGGGGAAAACGCTTACCCGGCGCAGCAATTTCGGAGATTTCAAGGCGGACCTGGCCCTTTGGGAAACTGGGAGCGTTGTCATTTATATCGAGAATCTCCACCTCGATCTGATACAAATTCAAAGGATTTTCAAGCACAGCTTCCAAAGACAAAACGCAAGTGAGACGAGGGCCGCAGATTTGTTCCCTGTCAACCTTTTCATTTACGAACAGAATCCCATTGTGTAAATTGACTTCCAAATATCGCTGATTTGGACCTGATACAAGTCGAAAATTTCGAGCAGATAGCTGCTGAACATCCAATCCCAAATCGTCTGCAATGTTTCCAATGAATGCCCCCAGTTGCAATTCTTCAGGAATCGAGTAATGAATTTCTCCTAAAATTAGATCCCAGGAAATAAACATGCAAAATAGCAGTTTCGATTTTAAAAAGTAAAATATATTGTAACATCTCATTGCCAGTATTAAGCATTCCAATTGTTTCAGCGCAGCTCCGTGGCGTTCGGCGTTTCCTTAGATTAGAATTATTTGTGCCGAGTTTCATTACTAAAACGGCTGCAATGCAGGGAAAATGCCTTCACCTTTAAAGAGATGTTCGAAATGGTTTCAAAAAGGCCTCCATTTTGTGGTTAAAATCCCAATGAATGCATCCGCGAAAACGATTGCAAACCCTCTATAGCTCGCTGACCAATTTCACATTGTCTCCGGCCGAGTGCGATGCTAGATGGGAAGGGAAACGACAGGCCGGATCACCACAAAGTTACTAGTTTCTGATTGGCAGACTCATGTTCAACCAATCAGAATAAAGCTCATTTCTTAAAGCTAGAATGCTCCCCTAAATAGTTGTTATTTCAATTTTTTGTTGTACAACCAAAAAACACAAAACTTTTTTTTAAAGCTATGGGAGTTTCCTTCTTTCTGCAAAATTGTTTTTTTTTTAAACAATTATGGATACACTGAACATTTGAAAACCTACACTGCTTGGAGAGCAAGGTAAGAAATACATTTTTATTCTGAAGAGTTACTGGACTTGAAACATTAAGTTTCCATCGTTGCTGTCAGACACCCTGAGTTTCACCAGCAATTTCTGTTTTTATTTTCAGATCTGCAGCATCTCTATTTCTTTGTTGGACTTTTATGTATATCTCATTTTATTAAATTCTGATCGTTCTCAGCTAAATCACAGGCTTTAGGACATTATTACCATATGGATACATTTAATTGGCTTTATCTATTTTCTGTCATTAGCAGAACAACAAGTCAGTAATGCTAATCATATTTCAGATAGTGTTGAGGAACAATAGTTCATTGCAATAGGGTTTGCCATTTTGTGAAGGTTGAGTCAAGGATCAGAATTCTACCTACAGTGATGACAAGTCTGCTAGCTGTTTAGAAACAATGTGCAAAAAATCTAATTAGAGACAGCACAGGTCTTAACAGGTGGACGAGTGGACCTAGTGTCCAAGTGGTGGGCAGAGAAGATCATGAAACTGTACAGTACATATGCATGTGCCATCTGTTTGAAAGAGCAAGCTTCTTACTTTTGACTCTTAGCCTCATTTTTCCAATCGGTCATTTCCAATAGGCAAATGACCATTTCAACTGTATTCGTTCTAGACCAAACTGATCATCCACGTCAATGTTACATTCCCAATCTCTCAAATAGTGATTGACCTCATTAGTGTATAGAAATCTACCAATCCTTGCTTTTAACTTGCAATACCATCTGGGATACAGAATTCCAAATGTCATCATCACTGAGTGATGATTTCCTCCTTATCTCATTCCTAAATGGCTGCCCTTTGCTTTGAAATTGCATCTTGTGGCTCTAGAGCCACTAGCCAAAGGAAACACTATTTCTCATCGAACCTTTCCTATGCCTTTAAGGCTTTCCTACATTGTTATGAGCTCTTCTGTCATTTTTTTAAAACTCCAATTAATGAAGGCCTACAATTCTTTGTGTCTCCTTATAGCTTAATCCCATCATCCTAGGAATCAGCCTACTGAACGTCCATGACAATCTGTCTCTGAGTGAGTATAAGCTTCCTCATGCAAGGTAACCAGAAATGCACACAATGCACCAGGTCCAATCTGAGAACTGTTCCACACAATTGAAACGAGACATAATTTCTCTTGTAGTCAAATTAAGTAACAACCCCTATCAATATCCTGGGGTTTACCATTGACTAGAAACTGAACTGGAGAACCTAGATAAATACTGTGGCTACAAGGGCAGGTCATATATTATAAATCCTGTAATAACAAATTTACTTTCTGATATCTCTGAAAAACTGCCCATTATCGACAAGGGACAGGTCAGAAGTGTAGTGGAATATTCTCCATTTGCCTAGATGAGTGCATCTCCAACACCAATCGAAAAGCCTGACACCACTCCTCAACAGTACAGTCCACTAGATTAGCGCCATATTTACAAAAATTCACTCCCTCCATCACTGATACTTAGTAGCAGCAGTGTGTACCATCGACAACATACATTACAGAAATTCACCAAGGCCTCTTAGGCAAAACCTTATTAACTCACAACCACTACCATTTAGAGGGACAAGTGTATCACATACATGGGAGCACCACCACTTGCATATTCCTTCTAACCTGGTCACAATCCTGACTTCAAAACATGTTACTGCACCTTCACTGTCATTAGGTCAAAACCCGATAACTTCCTCCCAGATGGTAGTATGGGTGTTGTTGCAATAAATGAACTGCAATGGTTGAAGAAGACAACTCCCACCAGCGTTTCATGTGCAACAAGAGATGGCCAGTAAATGCTGACACAGTCAGCTAAGTCCTCATCTCATGAGTGAATTTGACAAAAACATCCTAATGTGAGAAAGACAAATATATTGCTTGTCTTCCACATTCCTTGCTGCACCTGGACACAAGTTTTCAGTGAATTGTGAACGCAGACACCGAGGTACCTTTGGACATTAATAACTTCTAATTTCTCACTATGTAAGAAATATTCTGCTCCTCCAACTCACTCATTATTTCCTGTCCTGTACAATTGTACATACCGTGTACAAAACTCTGTCACACTCACTTAGCCTGTCTAAGACCCCTTCAAGAATCTTTGAATTGTCCGCACAAATTGCCACCAAGTTTTGTGTTATCTGCAATATTGAAATATTACAACTGATTGTCACATTCACATTATTACAGATTGTGACAGCCACAGTCCACGAACTGATCCATTTGATACCACACTGATCGCAGCCTTCTCACCTGAGAATTCCCCAATTGTTCCTAATCTCTGTTTCCTGCTTGTTCACCAATGCCCAATCCATGTTACTATATTATCTTAGTCCCGTGCCGCCCATTTTGATTTACTGATTTTATTTACAGATTGTTGTGATGTACCTAATATGACAGCATTTGGCATTGTATTGACTTGTTTAAGTGGAATGTGAATCTGGTTCTGAGTACTACAACTGAAGAATTTACAATATTTTAGGAGCAATAATTTACGACAAAAAAATTTAGCATTTTCATCTTCATGTATCATGACTACCTGCCACCCTTACAACATATATAATAGTCCTTTTCCTCCATCAAACTGAGCCGATTTATACATCTTATTGCCCATCCAATATACTAGTCATTTATCCATTACATGCACTCTTCCTCTACTGCTTGACTTTCTTTCTTCCTTCTTACAACATCTTTGTTGAAGTTGTATCCTGTTTTCTGAAATTATTTCCAGAATAACAACTTAAGTGTATTATGATTGTAGGTTCCTCCATAACCTATTATGTTGCCTGACAATATGTATCCTTAAATAAAGTCACCCTAAATTGATTAACAATTTCATACGAAACAGTTGATGTCCAAAAAAATCGCTTTTGATAAACTCTGCTCTGCTCCAATGCTTCCCTTAATGAATTGCACACAACGGCGTTGGATAGATCAGAAAGAATCACTGCAATCTTCTCAAAGGTAATTAGGGATGAGTAATAAATGCCGACCTTGCTAGCAATGCTCTCACTCCAAGGACAATGTTTTAGAAAAATAATCCACCCAACACCCTTGAAAATTAATTAAATTTCTGTTATATTTTTCTGAATATAAAACGTGATACATTTTACCGTGGGGATATAGGATTCCACAGAGATATATAGATTTGATTAGTAGGTTGTTCAGCGGTTTTATTTCAGACATTACCCTTTTGTTTTTTGCACCAAGAAAAGATACTTTCCACTTATGGACACTGAGCTGGACTTCATAACTGCAGATGTGGTTACCAAAAAATATATGTATCCTTCTGAACTGGGCTGCAGTACAGTTCATTAGTTGCTTTGTCACTGAGCTCGGCATATGTCTTTCTAATGGTAGATCTTTGATGATAGCACACCTGTATTGTGTGCATACAATGACTTGGTACAGTGCACCATGACAATTAATGGGAGCTAAGGCAATGGGTAAACCACACTAGGTATTACAAATAATTTCACCTTTCCACATTTGGAAGCACTCTCCTAAGTACCATTCAGAGTTTGGAGTTTGCTTTGCACATGATGTGCAGAAACTAAAAAGAAAAAAAGATTTGCAAGTTCAGATATCTCTGCAACTCAGACGTACCAAACAAAACATTTCAGTGTGTTTTACAGTAGAAATTCGTGGGTTCAGATATAACCAGTAAAGTTGCATTACAACTGGCTCACCTCACTAATGTTCCTACAATTAGAAAGTGATGCTTGTGGTTTTTCTTGATCCCAAATTGTTTCATTGCTGATATTATTCTTGCCGGTGGATGAACTACACTGGTTGGAGTACAAGAACTTTCCTTTGGTCAAATCTGAAGTCGTGCAGGTTCCATAGCGGAAACTCTGAGACAGTGGATCTCCCCCAAATACTTCAATGTAGTTCGGAGGTATCTGAATATTTCTGCTGGCTTTTTGAATCCCATTCAACGAGTTCCTTACTCGGAAGCAGCAACACAAATCCAGGGCACAGTGAGGGCCACCGAACCCATTTCTGGTTTTATGGACTGCAATTGCGAGTGCAATTAAAACAACTAGAAAAATGGCCGAAATACTCCCTAAAAATATAACTATGTAAAAACTTGTGTGATTAGACAAACCAGAATCTTCAGATAAATTGCCCATATCAGAGAGCATTTCTGCATCGCCCTCCACCACTGACAAGATAAGAGTCATTGTGGCGGTGAGCATTGGTGTTCCATTGTCGCTGACGGTCACGACTATCGTTTGTTTCCTTGCATCTCTGCCCGTGAAGCCACGGACTGCCCAAATTTCTCCTGTATCAGGTGAGATAGTGAAAAGTCCAGGATCGGTAGACTGAAGAATCTGATAAGACAGTCGAGCATTCTGGCCCGAGTCAGCATCCGTGGCTGTTACCTTAGTGATCAGGTAGCCTGGCTCTGCGAACTTTGACACTGTCTCCAATGCTGTTGAACCGTACTCCATGGAAGGGTGAATGATCACTGGGGCGTGGTCATTCTGGTCCAGAATAATTATATCCACGGAAGTATTGCTGGTGAGTGGTGGCTCTCCAGAGTCCCGTGCCTGGATTTGAACCTGAAAGTTTCTCAGTTGCTCGTAGTCAAAAGTTCTCTGAGAATAAATCACCCCATTTTTGGAATTGATACTCAAATAAGTGTACACCGGCTCGTTCTGAACCTGGCTGTCGAGGATAGAGTAGATTAATCGGGCATTTTGGTTCAAATCTGGATCAAGAGCTGT